CTGGCTTTGCTGGTATTCTTATTCTTCTAAATCTCTTACTCAGACTTGGAGTCCTGTTCTCAAATGAAGTCCTTAAACATTGACAGACATTGCTATCTCTACTTACTATCACCATCCTCAACTGGGAAGCATCTTGGGATATTCTGTTCCTTTGGCACACTTGGGCTGGAGTCCCCCACTGCCAAGCCTACTTTACCTACAAGCTGTACAAGAAAGGCTCCAGTACATGTCATCAATGGTAGATATCCCCAGTGCCTCCTATATCTTACAAGGAGAAGGCAGTTATCACAGATGTCAGTTTCTCTTGGTCCATTCCATGTTTGAGTTAACTAGTCATTCCCAAGTCTGTCCCAAGCTTACATGATAGATTTAAATTTATCTCTGTGCATTGTTATTGTTGATGATGATTGTACGACTCATAGAGATCCTATGAACAAAAGACTTGAAACCTTTCGATAACTATTGTTTCTCAAAGTTCATAGAGTTTCCAGAGGCATGTTGTTTAGGAAGTGGATGCCACTCCTGGTAATTAGGAAAAGAGCTTCATAAAAGAAAAAAATAACATTTGGAAACTTTTATTAACAACAATGTGATTTTATAGTATGTATGTAAGAATGTACATAGATTCAGATACAGAGAGATCAATATATATATCCCCAAACTAAAAAACAACTCGTTGCTATCAAGTCAGGACTGACAGCTCACCCTCAGTGGGGGTTGTTTTGCTGTTATTAGTTGTTGTTACAACTCATAGCAACCTTATGAAGAACAGATCTGAACCTTGCCCTGTTCGTCACATTCTCCAGCCTACTGTTACAGTCATTGTTAAGTGTCTTCCTCTCTTTCTCTGACCCTCCACCTTTCCCAGTATAATTTCTTTTTTCCAAGGACTGGCCCTTCCTGTCATGTCCAAAGTACGTGAGACGATGTTTCACTATCCTTTACTCTAAGGAGTATACTGGAGTGGGTTCTCAGAAACTTCCCATCTTTCTCCCCAGAAGCAGCCGGTACATTTGAACTGCTTGCATTGGGTTCATGGTGTAACTCCTTACCCACTAAGCCACCACAGCTCTTCATTTTTTTTTTTTTAAAAAGGAACTACATATATAAAATTTTACCCCAAAACCTCCCTTTTCATTTAACTCAACTATATTATCTGGCATTCTCTAGGATATTGTTGTTGAGTCAAATACAACTCATAGCAGTCCTATGAACAATAGACATGAACCCTTATCCTATCCTGTGCCATCCTTATCATCTCTGTTACACTTTTACTATTTTACACTGTTACTATTTTAACAGTCACTGTGTCAATCCATCTTACTGAAGGTCTGTCTTCCTCTCTTTGGCTGACATCTCCATCTTTTCAAGCATGATGTCTCTTTCCAAGGAATGTTACTGTTGTGTACCACTGAGTCAGGACTAACCCATAACTAACCCTCCAGTGGGTTTTCAGAGGCAATTAATCAAGAGAGGAGATCGCCCATCCTTGTCCTGTGGAGCATCTGGTGGTCTAGAACCACATGTCTTAGGGATTGCAGCACACCTTCTTGCCACTAGGCCACCAGAGCTCCCTATTACAAAGAACAGTATTTCCCAAATGTTTTTAAAAGATGCTAAGTATGAAACTAACATGAAGATGGGGGTTGGGTGGGGAGTGGAGGAGGGAAGAACTTGTTTAGCATTTCTCAAGCCAAAAGAACTGAGAAACAAATACAAGCCTTGACTTACGGTACTGAGAGATGCTAGGGGCAAAATCATGGAATGATCCAGGAGGCATTGAAAGAAGATGGAGGGAATGAATACACAGAATCACTGTACCAAAAAAGTATTGGCTGACACGGAAATATTTCAGGAAATACCATATGATTAAGAGCCAATTCTAAGTTAAGAAGAAATTCAAACTGCAATGAAGGTATTGGGGAGAAAAATAAGGCCCCAGGAATCCATGGGACGTCAATTGACATGTTTCAAATGACAGATGCAGCCCTGGATGCCCTCACTAGTCTATGCTAGGAAATTTGGAGGTTAGCTGTCTGGCTGACTGATTGGAAGAGATCCATATTTGTTCCCATTCCCAAGAAAGGTAATCAAACAGAATGTGGAAATTCTTGAACAATATCATTAACATCGCATTCAAGAGAAATACTGCTCATTCAAACATATCTAGAATGGACAGGTAAATTACCAGAGTTTGAGCTGGATTCAGAAGAGGTTGTGGCACCAGGAGATTATTATCAACGTCAGATAGATCGTGACTAAGGGCAGAGAATACCAGAATATATATTTGTGCTTCATTGACTATGCAAAGTCATTTGTCTGCGTGGATCATAACAAGTTATGGGTAATATGGAGATGAATGAGAATTCCAGAAAATGTAACCATGCTCATGCAAAACATATACCGAGATCAAGAAGTTGTGCAAATACAGTAAGGTTTAAAATTAAGGAAGGTGTGTGTCAAGTTTTAATCCTTTCCCCACACATATTTAAACTGTATGAGAAGTTGGACTCTATTAAGAGGAACATAGCATCAAGTTTGGAGGAAGACTCATCAATAATAACCTTCGGTATACAGATGATACAACCTTGCTTGCTGAAAGTGAGGAGGACATGAAACACTGCAGAAGATCAAACACTACAACTTTCAATGTGGATTGCATCTCATTGTCCAGAAAACAAAAATTCTTACCAATGCACCCTTAGGCAATTCATCACGATAGATGGAGAAAAAAATGAAACTGTTAAGCATTTCCTCTTACTTGAATCCACAATAAATATACTTGGTACCAGCAGTCAGGAGACCAGGAGAGGTACTGCACTGGGAAAGTGTGCAGTCAAGGGCCACTCCAAATTACTGAGGAGCAATGATGTTAGTTTAAGAACTAAGGTGCACTGGATTCAGACCATGATCTTTTCCATCACTTGCTTTGCATCTGAGATGCTGAACAATGAATAAGGTGACAGGAGAAAAACAGATGTCTTGGGTTGTGTGGTATTGGAAGGAAGAGAATATGAAATATCCCATAGACTCCCAATAGAACAGACATAACTTGGATAAGGTGAAACCAGATTTCTCCTTTGAAGCAAGGATGGTAAAAATTTGTCCTGCATGCTTTGGGCATGTTGCTAAAAGAGACGTTTCTTAGAAAGGGGCATCATGCTTGGAGAAGTGGAGGGACAACAGAAGAGAGGAAGACCCTCAACCACATGGGTTGACACAGTGACTCCAACAATGGGCTCGAGTGTGTCAGAAATAGCACAGGATAGGACCTGGTTCAGATCTATTTTCATAGGGTTGCTGAGACTTGTACTCAACTTGGCAGACCTAATAATAACATATAAAAATGATTCTGCAGCTAAAAAAAATCTATGAAATGTGAGTTTCCAGTATTTTGATGACGATGATGATGATGATGATGATGTTCATCATCATCATCATCATAATTTTTATGGGTTTCTAGTATTTAAAGATGTTTATTACAGGGTAGGTAGGATGAATCTTTTTGCAATCCTGAATGCAGACTGAGTAAGGATTAAGGTTCAAAATATGTTTTCAGATATGTTTCTTTAATGTATAATATCTTGAGAGAAACTCAATCAATAAATTAAGCATGCAGGAAAAAGGACATGCTTAGAAGTAGGGAAAAAGTATAAAAACCAAGAGAATGAGAATGCTGTTTCTAGTATTTACAAAAACAAACATACAATAGTTTGAAAAGACAAATTTACCTTTTGTCTGATATAAATCATAATAATGCACATTGTCAAATCAAATTACAGAATTCATGAACACAAAGCTGTTACAAGGGAGCTCTGGTGGCCTAGTGGCAAGAAGTTGCACTGTAATCAGTCCCAGAGGTACACAGTTCGAGTCCACCAGATGCTCTGCTGGGAACGTAGGGGCAATCTCCTCCTGTACCAGATCAGATTTGACAGTATACCCACAAAAAAAAATTTATAAAAAAATAAATAAAATTTTATAAAGCTGTTACAGAGACAAAGCTGCTACTTTCCCCAACTCCAGAATTCAACATGAATGTTGTCTCCTGAAATTATGCAATGTGGCGTTCCAACAAAGAAACAAGAGCTCTGTTACTGACTTGTAGAAAGGACTGGTATGGAAAGATTAAAGAACAAATGCTGCTTTGCTTGTCCTTATAAAAAGGAAATATATTTATAACTTTAAAATTTTAGTCTTAAAAAATACCATAAATAATTCTTAGTCTTGTGAGAAGCATGGGATACTCAGATATTATTGGTTTATCAAGAGTTTTACTCTTTTCTATTTTTTCCCCCAGAAAATAGAGAAGAGTTAATTAAGTATGAGTAGCTTTGAGAGGTGCCATTTCTTAATGCTGGAGAAGCGGCCTGATGAACCCTGCATTCGAAATCTTAACAATAAGCAATGAAATTTTACTTTTTTTACCAGACTGATTGCATTCTTGGGTTTCGTGATTTAGGGAACAAAATGACAATAGCAGAAATGGACACAGAAAAACAACAATACAATAACTCCAGATTAGACGATAACAGCCAGGAAATACATGAAATCAAAGGCAAGCACATGCTGCTGAGGTCTTACCGCAGCAGATGATTATGTCTCTGGCTTGGATAATAGAGATGGGAGCAGGGGAGAGAGAGTGAAGAGGAGGAGTGAGGAATAGCTACTCAAGTTAGTTTAGGGAAAGTTACGAGGGTTCTATAAAGAGTTCCTCAATCAAAGCAATTTTGATGCTGTTCAATTTTAAACACAAGTTAGATTTTTCACTGAGACCGCAACGTGAATCTTTCTGATATATTAGAGCCCCTTATTTGTCAAGCTCTGTGATAGGCACTAGGAATTCAACAGTGAATAAGCTGCACTGTTTTCACACTCTATTTAAGGAGGCGGACACCTATTGGCATCATTACCAAGTAGCCTAAGTAATGGAAAGGAAATAAAGAATGCTTCAATAAATTCTAACAATCCTTTTAGATCGAATGGTCATGGAAGGTTTCTCAAGAGGTGACGTGGAAGGTGAGAATGGAAGTGTTAGATATATAAGAACCAGGGGGTAGGAAGCGAACACATTCCAGGCAACTGGAACAATGAGACTAATGACTTAAGATACAAAGAGTGGAATTTTGTATGGCTGAAAGCATATGAACAATAAAGAAATTCCAGAAGATATAACATGTAGCAACAGACAGAAGCTTGATGACGTGAGATAGTGAAAGACATAGTTAAGAACTGAGTCAATGGTAGTGGTCTGGTTGGGTTACTTTTAAAAGTTTCTAAGCAGAGGGAAAACTACTCTGATTGCTGATATTGAACAAAAATAATCCATTGAAAAGGAGTAAAAGAATCAAAGAACCCATTTTTTTTTCATGCTGATCTTTGGGCCAGAGGTCTGACAGCTGAGCTCCTACCACAGTCATGTTGTTGTTGTTGTTAGATGCTGTGGAATTAGTTGTCTCTGACTCAGCACGACCTGTTTAGAACAGAAATTGCCCAATCCTGTGCCATCTTTGCAGTTTCTGATGTACACTGGTGCAGTCACTGCATCTATCTATGTCATTGAGGGTCTTTCTCTCCTCTGTTGATTCAACTTTTCGAGTAAGTCATATGTCATCAGTCATAGCTCTAGTGTACAGCATACATTTTTTAGAGTACATAATTGAATTCATAACACATATTCAGTGTGAGAGATTGAATAATTACCTTCAAAGTATCTAAGCCCTTATTCCAGAACTTGTAAATGTTACCTCATATGGAAAAAGAAACTTTGCAGATGTGAGTATGGTTCTTGAGATGGAGAGATTATCCTGTATTATCTATATGAGCCCTAAATGTAATCATAAATTGTCTTTATCTGACAACAAAAGAAGAACACAGAGTATGAATATAGTGTGGCAAGATGCCATACCGCTTTGAAGATGGAGGAAAGGGTCAAGGACCAGAGTGCAGCTCTAAAGGCCTCTTTGCCAGCAAGTCAATTTCATCTCATAGGTTACAGTGCCTTACGGTTGTTATGTGCCATCAAGTCACCTGCAACTCATAGCGACTCTCTGCAAAACAGTTCTGAACCTTGCCCTATCCTAAGCCAATCTCATCCTCACCATTTCTCCAGTCACTAAATCAATCCATCTCATCCTGGGTCCTCCTTCCAAGCATGATGTTCTCCAAGGACTGGCCCCTTCTGGCCACTTGCAAGAAGTATTTGAGATGGAGCTTCAAAATCCTTGCCTCACCCTAAGACAGACTTGTTTGTTCTTTTGGTAGTCTACTATATATATCTAACACTCTTCTCCAGCTTCTCCAGCACCACAATTAAAAAAGCATAGCTTCTTCTATCATCCTTAGTTATTGTCCAGCTATCTGATGTATAGCAAGTAACTGTGAAGACCATGGCCTGGATCAGGCATACCTTAGTCTCCAGACTGACATCATTGCTTTTCAGTACTCTAGAGAAGTCCCTGACAGCAGACTTTCCCAATGCAATTCATCTTTTGATTTCCTGAATGCTGGTGTCAAGAGTTTTTATTCTGGAGCCACAAGAAGTTGTTAAAAACCTCAATCTCGTTTGTCTATCATGAAGCTGCCAATTGGCCCAGTGGTGAGAATCTGTTTTCTTGATGTTGAACTTCAATCCATATTGAAGACTACAGTTCTTGACCTTCTATAGTAAACACCTCATGTCCTCCTCATTTCAGCTAGCAAGGTTGTGTCACCTACAGTTTTGCTGAGTTGTAGTTAACCTGACAGCACATAACAACATTTCTATAATGTCAGACTAAAGTGTGCATGATCTAGGCCATGATCTTCTCAATTTCTTGCTATGCATCTGAGACCTGGACAACAAATAAAGATGACAAAAGAATCAATTCTTTTGTGCTGTGGTGCTAGAGAAGAGCACTGAACATACACCATTGACTGTGTATTCATTGAGTGAACAAACAGAATCATGGAGAAAGTGAAACGAAGGTGTTTGTTGGAGGCAAAAGTGATAAACTCCCTCTCATATACTTTGGGAATGCTGACAGCAGGAATCGTCCTTTGAGAAGGACATCATGCTTGGAAGGGTAGGTCAGCTCAGGATAGGAAAGGATAGGACAGGATGGATTAATATAGTGACAGTGGCAATAGGGTCAGGCATGTGAAAGATTGGCTCGGGATAAAACAAGGTTCAGGGCCATTGTTCAGAGGGTTGCTATGAGTTGTAATTGACTCAACGGCACAAAACAACATTTACTAGGCTGACTCATTAAAGAGAAATATAAACCAGATGATCAGTGTTATTTGTTTTTACATGGAAAAAGCAAAACTAAGTGTATCAGTTTACTTACATCAAGTGAATGCTGCTCAGTGTTGCTTGGGAGACACTGTATCTGTATAGAGGAAACTGGATCATCTTGACAGTTAATATATAAAAATCTCACATACATTAGTACACTAATCACCTTCATTGGATCAGATTATCTCCATTAACCAGGCAGGTTGCTTCTCTACTGATAGCAAATAGAAAATTTTCACTTTTGGACATCGAGTCCTGAAAGGTTATTAATCGTGCTGTTTCAACAATATCCTTCACAATGCTATTTTTATTAGATGTCAATTTACATAATCTTGTTGGAGAGTTGGCTGTAGTCCCAGCAGGAACACATTTTTAAATTACCTTCTCTTAATTCAAGTATCAGATAATGTACTCCCAACTGAGACATGAAGATAGGGACAATAGTCTTCTTCATCAGGAACTTTATTTGGTCCATTATGATATGCTCTGTATTTCTTATGCAGATAATGGACCTCATCCAATTTCATCCCTTTTTATTGTGATTTGAAAGTTTAAAAGAACTGGTTTTTCATTCAAGAATTCATCTACATGTCATCACTTTGATGTCCCCCATTGCATAGCACTCTTCCCACTTTCTCCCTGTACTTCTCATTCATCCTTTCCTGCTTTCTGACCAACCATTATCCCTGGGTAAATGCAGCCCTATTGATCTTGTATAGTTGATTGTTCTAAGTGTATTTCTCCCTGGTGGCATCAATCATCTTACTGTTATGCACCATTGAGTTGGAAGTGACTCATAGTTCTTAAATGACAGATGTCCTTTCTTCCATTGGCACAACTGGGAGATTTTTTAACTATGTGCCTTTATCAGTGCCAACCCGTTACCGCTAAGCCACCAGAATTCCTCCCTGATGTCTTACAGAACTATTATTTGATTGATAATTGAGTTCAGAGACTTCAGTTTCAATCTTAAGAGTATCTGAAGGCAATTTCAGCAGTTCTAAAGCTAATGAAATAAATCCACACAAGGAGTTTCAGTACCAATTCAGGGCTGGTTCAAATCCACCAGCCTATCATTTATTCTTAGATGTATCCATTTGTTTGCACACATATGGGTAACTTTTTGTTTATTGAGCCACGGGAATTATTTACCATTATTAAGATACTCAATGTCTTGGTTAGATATTGCTGATGTAATTCCGTCCAGTGGTTTTATGGTATAAACTGAAAACCTGGTATAAAATTAGTAGTATAATCCAGTTAAGACTAATGGATGAAGTGATTTTTTTTTTTTGCAGTGATTTTTTTATATGACCTTGGGTTGAGGATGGGGAATCATTCACCTCTTCTAGCTCCTTTGTTTGTAAATGTTGGTTAAAATGTAGATCTCATTAGTCTTTCTAGTTTTAAAATTCAGCGAATGAGAAATTATAGAATATTAGCATTCTTTTGTTAATTTGCAGGGAGTCTGAGCTTTTTATTCTAAAGAATTATTTTATACAAATTGGACTTTGAATAGTTTATCAACCGTTGTGCATCATCAAATCCAAATTGACTCATAGCTGACTCTCCAGTTTCAGAGGCTATAAATCAGAGTTGGACACTGTCCACCTTTCTCCTTCAGAACAGACAGTGGATTTGAACAGAATACCTTTGGGATGGCAGTACAACTCCTTAACACTAGGCCAACCAGAGCATTCTAGTTTATCAACTCCATGCCCTTAACTGTTCATTCAGCAGATGCCATTGGTCTTAACAAGCTAATTATGAAATGGAAGAGCCATCCATTAGACACAAATACACAAAAACCCTGTACTTATTTTTGTAAACGTCTTTATTTCAATTTTAGCTTTCTGAAAAGGCAAAGAGAATGATGAATGGGGTAGCAAGAATAATACTTCTGTCACCCGGGAGTAGAAAAGAGCTGTTCTGGCTAACAAAAGAAGGTTAAACTGCCCTTCCTTAACTTAGAATGTTTTGTAGTTAGATGCCATCGAGTTAACTACAATTTCTATCAACCAGAGGAACAATATACTAGAACTGTGCCCCTCCTGTGCCATCCTCACATCACTGACATGCTCAAGTACCAAACAAAAAGATGTCCAAGCATGACAGAAGTCAGTCCATTTAGACCAAGCCAAAAGGAAAGGGAAGCCTGGCCGGCCATATTCCAGGATGGGGAAAGGTCCAAGTCAGTGTCTTGCGGAGTTGTTTCTGGACCTCGGTCTCTTTGAAGGTCTCAGTCTCTGTCTCCATTGTATATACGGGCCACGAGGTTCACAGCGCGAAAAGCCCCTGTGAACTACAGGGGCTCTCTGACGACAATAGGGTGTGCGGAAGAGGGGCAGAGGGGACTGGGGATTATACATCAAGTTTCCTTCCATGGAAAACTCTGTTTGGGGAGGTAAGGGGTCATCCAAATGGAAACAATCTGAGAATTGCTCTGAGGGGGGAGGCTGGGCTGAGCAAAAATAGGAATCCTGGGCATAGGGGGGGAACTGAGGCATTTCCCGGAGAAGAGGCATGGGACTTCGTCTTTGGAAGGGAAATGACACAGGTGCTGGCGCTTGGGGTGGGGTGGGGGGCCTTAACAAGAGCGAGGGTCTACAGCTGAGCAGAGGTACGGGTGGGGAGAGGGACGGAGGCTGGGCCTGTGGATACCTGCTAGCATGGGGCTGCCTCTCAGCAGCCTTGCCATTTCGCCCCCTTATGCGTTTATTCCACTGGTACCCGGGCCTTCGATTGGGCAGCTCCACTTCCCAGGCGTCAGCTACATGGGCGAGCAGGAGCTGGGAGAGGTGTCGGTGTGCAAATTCGTTCCAATGCACCCCGTCTATCTGCCGGAACTGCTGCGAGTGGCGGAAGTGGAAATGCAGGTCTAGGACATCAAAGCGGTGTCTATGTGCCGCGGTAAAGCTGTAGAAGTTGGCTTCCACCACGTCCTTGTGCAGGGAGGCTGTGCACAGGGGCTGGTCTCGAGGGAGGAAACTCCCAGTGATATGCTGGCCCAAGGGCATGGCCGTGTTCCACACCCGGAGGCATGACTCCGGGAGTGTCTCATCCAGGCGCTGGAACAGGCTTTCCAGGTTCTGCCGGTAGCTCTTCCAGGGGTTCTTACCATATCTGGAGAGGTCCCACAGGCAGGAGTTCATGATGAGCACATCAGGGGTATAGCTGTCTGTCCGCAACTCTTCTAAGATGTCCTCCATGTAGTCAGAATACACCCGGGTGATGAAGTAGAAGCGCACCAGGTGGTGGCCGGAGCAGAACTGCCGGACCTCACGGTAGTGGGTACCATTGTTCATCTGGTTTTTCTGGCCCCCCACCAGCAGCTTGTCATGTTCAAAGCTCAGCTCTCCCTTTTCCTTGAGCTGATGGTAGGTGAGCAGAGAGTCCTTCTGCAGTAGAAGCACCAGGTCCTTGTACACAGTCCTCTGGATGGAATCCCCCAGTACGACCACGAACTTGTTGTGGAGCAGCTGCCGGACTTCGGAGGCGAACAGGTGGACCATAGTGCTGAGGGCTGGCGGCCTAGAACCTCCTTCGCACAGTTAGTGAGCAGATTACTATGGAGAGAAGAAAGGAGCGACTAGGAGGAGCCCCACACGAGTCCAGGGGAGAGCACAGGGAAGGGGCTGCAACCTGGGCCTTGGGACCTGGGACCTGAAGGACCAGGGCCTAAGAAGTCTCTGTAAGTGAGGGACGATGGTTAGAAGAGAGTCACAAAGCAGAGATGGGAAGAAGCCAGCTTTGGCTTAGCCTTCCGAGCTATCTGTGGCTGCTCCAGGAAGCCCAGGAACCACCTGACACAGAAAAGGGAAGGGGAGGGACGAGGAGGGGCGGAGTCCCCAGGTCAGAGGTGAAGTCAGGATGCAGCCCCCTCTCTGTTCTCTTCCCCAGGAACAGACCATCCCCCAACAGCCCTCCTCCACAGCCCACTGATCTAACAAGCTCCCCCGAAGGTTAGGCAGACTTTATGGCTCTTAGACAGTGAGGACTGTAAAGAAAGAACCTGGAGAATGTTGGTGATGTAATAAGTTGAAAAGGTCACATACCACGTTGTGTGCTGTATATTACAAAACAAATGATATAAAGTAGATATGCAAGCACTAGTGGCAAAATATGAAATAGTTATTAAAAGGATAATATTTGATTTTGAACCTTTCCCTCCTACCATACTTTTCTTCAAATTTTATATTGTTGTTGAGAAACATACAACCGAACAGTTGCTACACATTCATTCAGTGACATGGGTTACTTGCTTAAGAGTTTAAAGCAAATGGCGTTCTTTCATTATCTCTACTTTTTTTAAAAGAAACCTATTTTATGTAGTCCTTGGTTGCTTTTTGTAGGTTAAAAAAAAAAATTAATGGAGTGTAACCAGTAACAAAAAAAAATGAGTCTCGGTGCCAGACCAGCAAACATTAAAACAACAAACCAACCATTTCTTTAACAAGGAAGCAGCAGTGTCTTACCTGCACAACTGCAGAAGATCAAGCAGATAAAACTGGAAATAATTCAGATGGTTTCAGCTGGAATATTCTTGGCTTTCCATTGGATTAAAAGTTAAAAGCTATAAAACTTTATCCTCAAAACAAACAAAAACATTTCAGATTAGGTATTTTTTAGGCTGGCAATTGATACAAATACAAAACTAAAAGCATGAAGATGGGTTACATATCAAAGAGTTATTGTAAAAAAAACACTGGAAAATACTTATTTTCCCCTAAAGAATCTCCATTAAAATTGGCTAACAGAAAACAAAGTCTGAAAACAGGATATGGAAAAAAAATTAAAAAGAAAACAGGATATGGCTTATTGTGAAGCCACAAGATAAACAAAACAAATTTTAAGTCCTGGATCCCTTCTCAACCTCTCACCTCATTATCTCACTCATAGCTGACCTCTCAGCAGGTTTTCAGAGGCTGTTAATCATAGAGGAACTAGAATGCCCATCTTTCTCCTGCAGATCAGCTGGTAGATTCAGACCATCTGCCTTTGGGTTGGCAGAGCAACTTCTTACCACTAGACCACAAGAGCTCCTTTCTGGAACCTAGGCATGCTCATTTGTTGAGATTATTCACCTAGTGCACATTTATTCCTGCTGTGTTCTTCTAAGATGCTCTGGTGGCTTAGTTTGTAGGGAAATTTGCTGCTAACTCAAAAGCACCACAAATTACAGCCTTGGAAATCCAATGGAGGGTCAGCTCTGAATTGGTTTTGACTCACAATGAGTGAGTGACTGTATTCTCTACTGGAATTGACTGAAGGGTCTATCTGCATCCCCAGGAGTTCTGAGCAATACATGTTGTTGCTGTTAAGTGCCATCAAGTGGTAGGTGACTCATAGAGATGCTATGAACAAAAGACCTGAATATGGTCAGCGATCCTTAATGAGATTAAGATTGACACAGTGGCTACAACAATGATTTAAGCCATGTGGAGACTGAGAAGATGGCTCAGGCTCAGGCAAGGTTTCATTGGGGTTGTACATGGATGAAATAAAATAATATCTAACAAAATATTCCCAAGTTCACTGCCATCAAGTCAATTCTAACTCATAGTAACCCTCCAAGTCTGTACATCTTTACTGGAGATAATCGCCTTTCTCCCAACACTGTCTACCATAGATGACCATTATCACATTTGACACATCACTGTCACAGTGACTATGAGTTACCTCTACAGCAAAATGGCCAGACCAGTGCTATACCACCTCAAAGAATGTTTGACCAAAACCAATACATAGACATTTGTTTTCCAAGAGCTGACCTTGTTGTTGTTTTTGTTGTTATGTGCCCTCGAGTTGCCTAGGACTCGTAGAGACCCTATGTACAACAGCCCTAAACCCTGCTCTATTCTGTGCCATTCTTACTGCTTCTGACATACCTACCCCCATTACCCTAGTCCATCTCATTGAGGGTCTTCTGCTCCTCCTCTGTTCCTCCACACTCCCAAGCATGATGTCCCTCTCCTACTAGTCCCTCTTTGCAACATGTCCAAAGTATGTCAGACAGAGCTTCAGAATTCTTGCCTCTAAGGAACAGCCTGGTTTCATCCTTTCCAGGATGAACCTGTTTGTTCTCTTAGTAGTCCATGGTATTCAATACTCTTCTCCAGCACCACAGCTGAAAGGCATCAATTCTCCTATCATCCCTAGTCATTGTCCAGCTTTCTGATACATAGTAAGTGACTGCAAAGACCATGGTCTGTATCAGGTGCACCTTAATCTCCAGAGTGACATCATTGCTCTTCAGTACTTTGGAGAGGTCACTGATAGCAGAGTTTCCCAAGGCTATACATCTTTTAATTTCCTGGCTGATGATGCCAAGAGTGTTCATTGTGGAGCCAAGCAAACTAAAGCTGTTAACAATCTCAATCTCTTAACCATCCATCATGCTGCTGCCAATTGGCCCAGTGGTGAGAACCTTTATTTTCTTGATATTGAGCCTCAATCCATATTGAAGGCTGTAGTCCTTGACCTTCTGCAGCAAGCGTTTCAGGTCCTGCTCAGTTTCAACAAACAGGGTTGTGTCATCTCCATAACGCAGATTGTTGAGTCTTCTTTCAATCCTGATGCACATTTCTCCTCATAGAGCCCAGCCTCCTGGATAATCTGCTCTGCATATAAATTGAAAAGGTATGGAGACAGGACACATCCCTGGCACACACCCTTCCCTATTCTGAACCATGAATCATTCCCTTGCTCTGTTCTGATAACTGGCTTCTGGTCCAAATATAGGTTTCACATAAGCATGATCAAATGTTCTGGGATTACTATTCTTAGAGTTAGCCACAGTTTGTTGTGGTCCACAAAGTCAAACACCTTTGCATAGTCATTGAAACACAGACATTCCTCTGGTATTCCCTGCTTTCAGCCAAGATCCATATATCATTGTTGTTGTTGTTATGTGCCGTCGAGTCACGACTCATAGCGACCCTATGTACAATAGCCCTAAACTCTGCTCTGTCCTGTGCCAATCGCACTGTCTCTGACTCTCCCACCCTGACCAGTCTCTCCTCACAACATGTCCAAAGTATGTTAGACGGAGCCTCAGAATCCTTGCCTCCAAGGAGCCACCCGGTTTAACCCTTTCCAGGAC